GCGGCCGCCTCCTGCCCCCCCTGCCCAGCCTCCCGCAGCTGCAGGCACAAGAGCAAGGGATGCAAAGCAGAGCAGAGGGCTGGGGGGTTGCTCAAGCACTGGGCCTTGGCAGCAGCCCCAGCAGGACCAGCCACTGAAGCCAATGGCAGTGGGAAGCCACCCAGAGCACTGCTCACCCAGCTCAGCTCCCAAACCTTGCCCTGCTGCAGCCCAGGCAGGGAGCAGCTCTTGCCTTGCACCAGCACCCCAAGGACACCACAAGCACCTGGATCCCCCTCAGCACTTGGAAAAGCACAGGAGGAATTTCTCCTCCTGGAGGGATTTGAGGTGGGTGTTGAGGCTGCACCCACACCTGCTGAAGAGACCCACTATTATTTCTTTTTTTGGGGGGTGGGAGGAGGGATCTGCAACCACCCTGTGCTCCCCAAGCTGCTGGACAGTTCTGGGCTGGAACCAGGAGAGCTTGGACACAGGACAGAGCCAGGACTGGCCCTGGGCTGCCAGGGCACAGTGAAATCTTTCCACCCAGGCTGACGTACAGGACGCAGGGTTTAAATTTAAAGCTGCCGGAAGGGGAAGAAACGAGAAACCAAATCTCCATGGATGGTGAGCAGGCTCTGCACAGGACCCAACACATGCACATTTTTCGGCAGGCACGTCAGCCCGGAGGGGGAGGAGAGGGGTGAGCAGCTCCAGCCACTCCTCTCCAACCCTCTTATCACTCCAGAAAGGGAGCCAGGGGAAAAATTTTGAAATGAGTCAGCGCTGCGTGAGCACGGGCGGGAACCACGTCACCCCGGGCTGGATGTGCCAGTTCCCTCCGGGTCCCTGGCCAGCACCTCTGGGACCGGGGTTGACTGGCAGCTTCTGCAATGGCAGAAGAAGTTTGACTTGGAGTTACCCCTGACCGAGGCTGAGGTGATTAAGAGGCTCGGAGGAGGCTGCCGTGACGTGCTCGCCCGCTTATTGGCCCCGGCTGGATGGTGTGTTCCTTTGTGCCTCCTCACACACCCCTCCCCAGCCCCGCGGTTTAACCGTTTAGCAAACGGCTGCTGCCCCCGGGGAGGGGGGCAAGGTCAAAGCTGAAGGCTCTTGACAGTCACGGGCACATCAAGGAAGAGTTTGGGCACCGGGAAGCCCAAGGTGGTGAAGGAGATGAGGACACAGCTCAGGGCTGCGTCCCCGAGGCTGAGGGAGGAAGGCAGTGGGATGGGCTGCTGGGATAAAATGGGCCAAAAAGTGTTTCAGAAAGAAGGAAAGGAAAGGGAGAGAGGTGATGGCCCTGCACAAAGGTCTCCTCTGCCTTCCAAGGGACTGGAGCAGCCCCAAGCTTTGAGCTGGAGCCACCACAGCTGGGGTTCAGCCTCACAGACCAGGCCCTTCAGCAGCTTTGGGCAATGAACCCTCGACCACAGGATCCCAGGGTCGGGGGAACGGGGTCAGGCAGCAGCTTCTGAGACCACCCCACAGGCTCTACACGCAGGAGAAGCCAAGGCAGCAGCAAGCAGCCCTGCAGCCCCACCACGGCCCAGGAACCCCAAGGTTGGGAGGCTTTAACTCAGCTCAAGTCCATCCAATTTGGCCTCAGCAAGTTGCCCTTGAGCCACGATCAACAGGAACAATCTCCTCACAAGCGGCTGCCCTGGCGCTGCCGAGGGGCCCAGCACAAGTTGAAAGCTCTGGCTAATTTTAACAAAGCAGGAGCCGTTGGGAGGAATGCGGCAGCCCCATCCCCACCCCCTGCCTCCAGATTACAGGGAGCAGAGCAGCCAGCCCAGCTCGGGGCTCTCCCTGCCCACACAGCCCCTTTTCTAATCTCCAGACCCCAGACCCCGCCACACGCGCGGCTGCAGAGAAGCTATTTCAGGCCACGAGCAGAGCTTGGCTTGCACAGCACCAACTGCTGCTGCCCACAGCTATTCCAGGGAAGTCCGGAAGCAGAGGGTATAATCTGGGGGGGGGAAGAGAACTGTTTCCCTCTAATTCCACACACACACCCCACGCTGCATTGTGTTCCAGCCTCGCAGAACGCGGGTTATTTTAGCACAGGACACACACACCACCACGCCCACCCTTTGGCATTAGCAGCCTCCTACACTCCGTGTCCCACACCGAGGCAGGTGTTCACAGATGTCCTAAATCTACCCTGGGTGCAGGCACAAGTCCTTTGGGGGTTGGCCAGCCCTGTCCCATCTGCTTGGACTCCCTTGGGCACCCCGAGGGCAGAAGCACCCACGTGCAGGCTCCCAGATCCATGACAGCTGTTTTCCTGCCAGAGGAGCACCCTCGTGACTGTCAGCTGGCACCCCACCACCCTACACACCCCTGTCCCTCCTTCCCGTGGGGATAATGCCACCTGCTCTGTCTGCTGGCAACGTGGCCCTGCCACCAGCCAGTGCTCTGCAACCAGTATGTGAACAAAGTCCATCCCAGGAGCGTGGCACTGGGGCAGGTGCAGTGACACCCGGGACAGCCAGGCACAGTTCACATGGGGATGACTTGGGACAGGTCAAAGTAACAAGGACAGACTCGAAGCCCCAGCTCTCAGCAGCATTTTGGGCTTTTTGGGGCACCTGGCATCTCAGCTGGGTGAGACAGGGCATCAGCACGTCCTGCCCTGCACACCTCCTGCCAAGGGACACCTGAAGCTGACTGGAAGTTCTGTGACACGTCAGGCAGGGATGGGAGGTGATACAGGCAGCTCTTACCAGGGCATCAGGCGGCCAAAGCGGGTCCATGATGTTTTGCTGATGAAGAAGCCCACCATGGGGTCTGTGATGGCATCCCAGGCTCGCCCCACAAACAGATCCATGACAGCTGTTTTCCTGCCAGAGGAGCACCCTCGTGACTGTCAGCTGGCACCCCACCACCCTACACACCCCTGTCCCTCCTTCCCGTGGGGATAATGCCACCTGCTCTGTCTGCTGGCAACGTGGCCCTGCCACCAGCCAGTGCTCTGCAACCAGTATGTGAACAAAGTCCATCCCAGGAGCGTGGCACTGGGGCAGGTGCAGTGACACCCGGGACAGCCAGGCACAGTTCACATGGGGATGACTTGGGACAGGTCAAAGTAACAAGGACAGACTCGAAGCCCCAGCTCTCAGCAGCATTTTGGGCTTTTTGGGGCACCTGGCATCTCAGCTGGGTGAGACAGGGCATCAGCACGTCCTGCCCTGCACACCTCCTGCCAAGGGACACCTGAAGCTGACTGGAAGTTCTGTGACACGTCAGGCAGGGATGGGAGGTGATACAGGCAGCTCTTACCAGGGCATCAGGCGGCCAAAGCGGGTCCATGATGTTTTGCTGATGAAGAAGCCCACCATGGGGTCTGTGATGGCATCCCAGGCTCGCCCCACAAACAGGATGATGGAGGCATAGAAAGGGTCCAGCTGTCAGGAAAAGACCTTGTGTGAGGACACACAAACCCCTGTGCCCCCAGCTGCCCTTCCTGAGCTCCTCAGGACCTTCCCAACTACACTGGGACCCCCGTTGGGGCAGGGGATGGATCCCTCAGCCTCTCCCTTTCACTCAGTGGGATCTCAGACACGGTGACCCAGTCCTCCCCAGCACTGCCCCACCACCTTCTTCCCACACCACATCTCCCCACAACCCCACAGCAGGCAGGACGATGCCTCACGGGCAATTCTCCCTCCCCAGCTCACACCGACCTGGAACGCTGCGGGTTCGTGGGACGGATCCCGTGCCCCGCAGGACAGACGGACACCACGAGCCCGTTTATCTCACCCGAGGCACGGAGCGACCGCACAGCTCCGCGCCGGGGAAAAACCCGCAGCCCTCGGACCGACTGCCACGCGGGATGGGTCCCCGCACCACCCACAGC